ATGTTAAATATTAGTGCGCCAGTTATTTTTCTAAAGCGCCCTCTCTTAATAGCAGTATTCTTCATCAATTCAAAATATGAAAAAGTTCAGTCATAATCATTGGCAATACTCAAAGGATATAGTCATTGGCAGTGTCAAGAATAGATTTTGGACAAAAGAAAGAAAGTATAGTGATTGACATGTATGCCAATGACAATGATTATGTAGTCAAACAAAGTAAAGTATAGTCATTGGCACAATTAAAAAAACCGATGCTTCTATTTCACAACGATAAAATAACGTTTAATATGCTTTAATGACGTTAATTGATTAAAATAGACAAACTTATATATAAACTTACCTAAAAATCACATTTTGTCTCAAAATCTAGCCACATAACCTTAACTTTTTGTTAAATTTTAACGGATTTGTCCACACACATTTTTAAAACAGCCCTTATAGGAAAATAGTTGATGCTTTAAATATAAATATGTATTGTTAGTATAAGTATATCTTAGCAATATCTGTGTAGCTGTGATATAGAAAAAGGAAAACATTCTTAATATTTAGATTAAAATAGCAAAGTGCCAATCATTGTAGGAGTGCCAACATTAGTACTGTTTACCCTACATCAATTAAGTAATATTATAAATGTTAGATCAAAACCATAAACATATTTTTAGAAGAATACTATACACTAAAATAAATATAAATGAAATAATGCATGTAGTTTTCTCCATAAATGTTAAAATAACAAATAAAGATATAAATTACTATGTCTTGTAGTAAGTAGGTACTGATGTTCTGATCGATTTTTTCTGAACCAGAGGTCAAAGCTTAAATGACAATCAATAAGTATTCTAATAGGTAATCTGTATTGAATAAAAATTATTCAATTCTATTTTAATTTAATGGGATTATTAAACATTAAAAGTTACTTTTATTTACTCGTATTTCGAGGCTTTTTATTTAAGAGTTCTAACTTAACCTAACCCAGTGATAGAACGCTAAGAAAGGCCTGAAAATTCTTCTTCTGGACATTGCAGTCACCAGTAACCTATAGCTCCTCCTCGTTTCACTCGTCATTGCACCTTTTTTAATATTGCTTTAACCTGACCAATTTAAAAAAAAATTACCTTTTTCTATATATTTATAATGCAGAAAATGTTACTATTCAATTAGTATATCACATTAGTTGTTTATATAAACATATTTTTATTTAATTGATCAATATATCAATGTTGGCACAGTTTCTGAATAAAAATAAACAGTTTTATATTTCTTATACCACAAGTTACGAATAAATTAGATGCACCATGCATGCAACAACAAGAGGTGAATTATTGAATTTCACAAATGAAGGACAGAAACAAAATAGCAATATATTGAAGACCAGACACTTAAAATTGCTACCAGTTATATATTACTCTCATTTGTACAGAAACACTTCCAAGCTAAAGAAAAAACACAGGATGGCACCTGAAATTCTCAATGTACAGATAGAAATAGCAATTAATTCACAGAAAAGGGACAAAGCCCCAAAGGCAGATGAAATAACTAATGAGATAGGTACTTAATGGCATATTGCATCCAAAGACATGACCAATGGCCTAAAACATCATCCCGCTGCATAAAAAAACTTTTAATATAAAATAAAAGCAGACTTCACAGAACTAAAAAGAAAATATTTTCACATTCTGAACTTATTGTATAGAAGAAGTGGAAAGAAAGAAACATGTCACATAAATAAAAAGTCAGTTAAACATAGGGCAGTTTAAGACTACAATTGATAGGGAGTATATCCAGGCAGTGAAAAGGGTTACACTCAGTTTTTTCAGTTTTTTTAAGTTTTCACTCAGCATAGTACTGCAGGGTAACCTACAGCCCTGATGATTCTGTCATAACCACAGATACATGCACAATCTGCTTGTGTTTTTGAAATATGTAAAAGTAAATACATTGATATAAATACTTTTATAAATTAAAATATTTAAGTGCCTCATAAATAATGCTCTATATACATTTAGAGATATACATATACATACATTTAGCACATATTATGCACATACATATGGTACATATTTTATATAACACATACATCTATACAAATAAATAAAATTGAAGTGTCTGTTTGTAATGTAAAAATACCAGGTTTTTACTAAATGCGTATGAAAGTATATATGGTACTTATAACAAAAACACAATTTTTAAAATTTTTGTTGGTCTGTCCGTCTGTTTGTTCCAGCTAATCTCCGAAACGGCTGAACTGATTTCGACGGGACTTTCACTGGCAGATAGCTGATGTTATAAGGAGTAACATAGGCTACTGATATTTTAGAAAAAGAATTAGGATTCCGCGCAACATAATTAAAACCCTAAATTACACGCGGGCGAAGTCGTGGAGAACAGCTAGTACAAATATAAAATATACAAAAATATATAAAAAATAAATGTACAATAACAGCAAACATATAATGCTCAATGATGCTGAAAGAAACATAGTGGAGCTGCTGGAGGCTCAAGGATGAGGTCTTCATAAGTTTAATAAATAATTTTTAGTGTGATTTAAAATTAAAATTCGAATTACACTCTCGTAAATGCAGAGGAATGGCATCTAGTACCTATATATTTAAGCTACCTCTGAAAGCTGCAGAGCATAACTTTAGAATCGAAGGCTCAACTTCAGAATGTATTTTTTTTTAATTCTCTTTAGTTGTTTGAAGTCTGCTTTTACATTTAATTAAAAGTTAATTTTTACTCCTTTAGGTGGACTAAGGAATATAAAAATATCAATAATGTTAAATATTTCAAAACAAACTTCATCTTCTATTTTCCTACCCTTAGTGGTGGAATTTTTGTCCAAGTTTTTTGGGATAAACCTTGAAGCATAAACAATTTAATTAAAAAAAACTCAAAATTGGTTCACAATTGATGAAGATATTGCATAACATATGAACAAAATATGGGCTAGAACTTTGATGCAGGTATATAATGGTTGTAGCGTGAATGGGTCGGCTTGACCAGGGAATTATCTCACAAAATACCAGCGTAAAATAGTAGCTTAAGGCTTCTGTTTTTTGTAAGTGTAGTCTTGTGGTGGTTGTAAAGAACTAGAGGGCCTTTTAACCAGAAACAAGGCATTACATTTTAGTCCTTACATGTAGCAAACAACACACCTGTATTTTTGTCTTAATCAAGGATACATGTACATGTCTATGGACTGCAGCATCCAAATACCATCAGATGGACTGTGTGCTTGTTTATCACCCTTATTCTATAAATAAAAATACAAATAAATTGAGCACACCCTACTTTTTTTTAAGTTGACTAAAAAGGAGCCAAAATGAACATGTTGACCTACAGGCCAATCAGTCTCATATCTAACATTTGTAAGATGTTCTTAAAGATACTATTCCAGAAAATAGCCAAGAATTTGGATGAAACCAAGCAATAAAGTAAGGAGAATTCATAAACAGCTACTTGGTGATTGACCATATTCATTTGGGGTAAAACAAATCATTAAAAACCCAAAAGTATACAATACTGAAGTGGAAATGGACCAGTCATAAAGCTCAAAGAACCACCAATGAATGGGGACAAAAGATTCAAGAGTGGCAGCACCTTACCAGTAAAGAAAGTGTAGGGTAGCCCTCACAAGAATGATTGACAACCTAATAAAACATGCAGAAAGTAAATTGTTGCAGGTTGCCGAGTCCTGAGCCACCTGCATCTATAAACTGTTTTGTGGCATTCCTCAGCTGCCTATATTCAGCAGTGGAATTAAAGGGTTGTAATGATTAATGATGAAAATTTTGATACTGAAGATGTCAAACAATGCATCAATTTCATACAACATAATTTAAAGCTTCATTGGAGACTCATTATTTCACCATATGATTCATTCATCTTTATCTAGCCTAGACAATATTATTTGTCTATACAATGTCATCACAGCATTTGCTCAATTCACACCTGGACTGACGCATCTTGCCTCAGTTTACCAATCACATTTTACATGACTCAATAACAAGATCCACGTACCAGCTATACAAAATCTCTACACAAAAAACTGTCAAGAAACATTTGTAGTTTCTTACCAATTTAAGTCTAACAAGCGTAAAAACATGGAAGCTTTTACTTGTCTCAACCTACTCATTCCCAATGTTGTTACTTTCTACTTATAGTATAAAATCAAATGCAGAGCACAGTGCATGGGGCCATTATGGGGTAATCAGACCCAAAACTAAGAATAATTTATGTTTTATCACACAATTTGTGTAGGAATGGGATTCAAACCTAGAACTGTAGCCCAACGTAGTGTCCAGTTAGTCTGATTATTTGCTTATAATAAAATACTTATAAAAGAAAATAAAGTTAATAATGGAACAGTATAATAAAAATGAGTTTAAAGTAGAAAAAGAATATGGCTACCCAACTCGTCAATCCACTAGAAAAGGAAAATATGTAGTACCTAAAATTAAAAATTACTTTGGTATGTGCATGAGACGATGGGTTATGCCGCAATTACATAACGAGCTACCGCCGGACTTGCTTAGTAAAGTTATCTCACAAAATCATTTAAAAGATATTCTAAGAAAACATTATCTATCATTGTGTCCATAAAGGTATGCCACAGGCCACAAGTAACATGCTGTTAAAATTAGCAGTCTATATGCGATGTGTGCTGTTTGAGTATGTGTTGAATTAGTGTATATGTGTATATATAGTATGTATATAAAAAAAATTATAAAAATAATGAACGAATTTTGATATTTGGCTGATGTGGACCTCATAACAAACTTTGTACTAAATATGAATAAATAAAATAGATGTTGGGAGATATTAGTATATGTATAAGAAATTATACTTCAGATTATATGTATAAACATAGACATGTAAGACGAGAACTGCTGCCGACAAACTGTAATGCAGTTTGGCAGATGAAAATGTTAAAAACGTTTATTGTATAATTGGAAGAAAATAAATTAAAAAAAAAGTAATAACTGCAAATACCTACATACCTGATTAACTTTACGAATAAATCTTGAACCACCTTTTACCCCGATTCCAGCGCCCGAAACGAGGTAAATATTAATGCGGATATTCAGTTTACATGTCGGTAACTCATCAAAATAAACAATCGAGAACCGCTTCTGAAACAATAATTCGAAATGCATACGTAATATCAATGAATACGGTGCGCGTAGCCAAGTGAAATCAGTATGTTTCATCAAAAATTTACGAAAGTAAGCCTCTATTTGCATTAAATGTATTTCAAATAAAATACTCTCAACACAGTCTCTGAACATAAAATTTAAATTATGTAAAAAAGTAAGTTACCGCTAAACACACGTAGCTTTGGACGTTTATTTTATAATCCAAAACAGAAATACGAAACTTTAAAATACCAACTTTTGTCCTGTGCTGTCCATTTCTGACACTTAATACGTACTTGTACTTGATATCTTGACAATTTTTTTTTAAACTGGCTTTACGGCTCTGGGTTCTAGCCCTTCTGAGACATCTCGAGAACCATCTCTGGGCAGGGGCTCCCCAGTGCCAGCTCCTTCCACTTGACCGCATCCAGCGCAGAGCGGCTCGAATCGTCGACGACCGAGCCCTTTCCGATCGGCTCGATTCATTGGCACTGCGAAGAGATGTTGCATCTCTTTGCATTTTCTTTCGCATCTACCATGGGGAGTGCTCTGAGGAATTGTTCGGATTAATCCCAGCCGCCAAATTTCACGAACGCACATCGCGGCAGAACTCCCGATACCATCCACACCATCTGGATGATTGGCGGTCCACCACTGTGCGATTTAGAAGATGTTTTCTTCCTCGCACAACTTCCTTGTGGAATAGTTTACCACCAGGGATTTTTCCGGACCGATACGACTTAGGGACCTTCAAGAAAAGAGCCTACTCCTTTTTAAAAGGCCGGCAACGCATCTGCAATTCCCCTGGTGTTGCGGTTGTTCATGGGCGGCGGTAGTCACTTACCATCAGGTGAGCCGCATGCTCGTTTGCCCCCTCTCCTATAAAAAAAAAAAAAAAAACCATAAGTGACAACCAAAGAGTATAGTAACTGTGAAGTGGAAGGGAAGTGACCATAGACTAATATGTATATAATACTGGCAACACGGAAGTATAGACAACCAGGAACACGTAGATAGAGAATTGACTAGATAAAGCATTCGCGTATGCTTTTGAGATAGAAATAGGCGGGAGGTACTTTTCCTGGGTTACCAGATATTGTTCCATTTCCCCCGATATGGGTTTATTTATATTCACAGCACTTAAATTCATACAAACAACTTATTTGTTACCATAAAAAAAATGTTCTTTTATAATTCAGATGATTAATTAATTTTTCTTGAAATACATTTTGTGACTAAAAACTACGGGCGGAAACGGCATAAAAACAGAATCATCATTCCAAATTCAACGGCGCATCGACGATTTTACTGGACATTCAATAAACTCTTTGGATTTCGACGGCACTAAGTGAAAACGCTACTAGCACAAAGTGTGCTATCGCTAATAAGTAGGAATATGTAAATATGTATTTAAATATTTACTAATTATCAAAACTTTCCTCGTGTCTAGTTAAATGTTGTTTTTTACAAAAAAAAAGTAAAACAAATGAATACACAATTATATGTTAAATATAATTCAATAAAATTAAACAAACGATTATTTATTAATTTTTCATCAGATTAATAAACACAAAACAAAATTACCAAAATTTTTGTCTTCTTTATAGGGCATTCGTTGTAATTCTTGGTATGAGTAGCATCAGAATTTCTCAAAAATATGCATTTATAAACTTGATTCATACTTTTGCATGGCAGAAATTCTTGGGTGCTGGTTGTTATATATATATATATATATATATATATATATATATATATATATATATATATATATATATAATATATATATATATATATATATATAAGCCAATGCTAACACAAGCATTTGAAGCTTACCAGTAGTGGTTAAAGGGAATATTAGTAATGTTTAATAGCATTACTAGTATTTTATAAAAAAAGAATTATATATATATATATATATATATATATATATATATATATATATATTAGTGGCATAAATAATACGGCACAACTCCGAAACTATACTTAGATAGGTAACAACAGTGTTGTCCTAAGTAGGTGTCAGATTTATCGTCCACAAGTCTATCGTTAACAATATTGTAAAGATTGTGACTGTGTCGACGAGGGTTGTGTACTTTATACTCAGAATCACCAAACTGTATTCGTTGAAAGTCATACAGGTTTAGGCACCAACCTTGGCACATCCGCATGAGGAGGTGGAGGAAATGTAAGGGAATTTATATATCTAGAGCCATGCATTCCTCCAAAACCCACCATACGGTGTTAATGGGAGATTTCAATGCAACACTATACACAAAAGAGAACGGTGAGCTGAAGGTAGGGAAATTTGGAATAGGGCAACGGAACCCAAGTGGCCAGCAGCTGGCCGATTTCATGGAGAAAGAGGGACTCTTTATGATGAACTCTTTCTTCCAGAAGCGGCCCCACAGGAAGTGGACCTGGTCGAGCCCCGATGGTACGACAAAAAATGAGATTGACTTCATTATGACGACCAGACGAAAACTGTTCAGTGATGTCTCAGTGATCGCGAGGGTGAAAACTGGTAGCAATCACCGAATGGTTAGAGGTACACTGAACCTAAACGTTAAGTTGGAGAGGTCTCGTCTAATGAAGGCAACGCTCCGTCCCTTTCGTGCGCTAGTCCAAAGTCCCGAAAACTTTCAGCTCGAGTTACAAAACCATTTTCAGTGCGTAGAAGACTGCAATGAAGTGGGCGATATGAATGATAAGCTGGTGGAAACTGTCCATGCAGTCGGAACTAAGTACTGCAAGACACGCCGCAGAAAAACACAAAAACAATCCGATCACAATAATAATCTGTTGACTGTTAGAGGGAAAATGAAGCTGCAGTCTTTAACAGATTTGACAGCATACACGCAACTGAAAAGACAGATCTCCAAATGCATGCGGCGGGAGTTACGCAACTTCAATACAACTTGTATTGAAGAAGCGATCGAGCATAACCAAGGCTCCAAAGTCTTTTCCAGAGATCTGTCTACCAGAAAGAGCCAACTCTCAAAGCTGAAAACTAAGTGTGGCAGTATCGTTTCCGGGACACCTGAGATTTTGAGTGAGATTAAGAGGTTCTATGGGCAGCTGTAAACGTCATCGTTGAAGCCACACGTAAGTGTGAGTAACGATCCAAGAGCGAATCTTATCCGACCACTATTCCAAAGATATCCCGGACGTCACTCTCAGCGAGATTAGAATGACTCTTAAGCACCTTAAAAACGGCAAGGCGCCAGGTGAGGATGGAATTACAGCGCAGCTTCTGAAAGCGGGTGGAAAACCGGTACTTGAAGTCCTTCAAAAGCTCTTTAATTCCGTCCTCCATGGTAGCACTACTCCGGAGGCGTGGAGCAGAAGTGCGATGGTCTTGTTCTTCAAGAAATGGGACAACGCTCTGTTGAAGAACTACAGACCGATTTCCCGTCTGAGCTGCGTCTACGTGCTGTTTTCGAGAGTCATTACGAATCGTCTCGCATGCAGACTCGACGACTTCCAGCCTCCCGAACAAACCGGTTTCCGAAAAGGCTTTAGTACCATAGACCACATACACACTTTTCGGCAAATTGTACAAAAGACAGAAGAGTACAATCTGCTACTTTGCCTTACGTATGTGGATTATGAGAAGGCCTTTGATTCCGTCGAAATTTGGGCGGTGCTGCAGTCCTTTCAGCGGTGCCAAGTAGACTATCGGTATATCGAAGTGCTGAAGTGTTTGTACAGTAGGGCTACGATGGGTATCCGAGTACAGAATCAGAGTACGAAACCTATCCAACTGCAGAAAGGTGTAAGACAGGCTGACGTTATATCTCCAAAACTCTTCACCGCTGCATTGGAAGACAATATAGTCCTAATGGCAGAATCGCTGAGGACCTAAGCACTATGCTCAATGACCTCTATAGTGTCTCCCAACGGATAGGTCTTAAGATAAACATGGACAAAACAAAGATCATGTTTAATGTCCATTACACACCTATGCCGGTAGTTGCTGAGAGTACGGAGCTCGAAGTTGTTGACGAGTATGTTTACCTGGGACAAATAGTCGGACTAGGTAATTCCAACTTCGACCGAGAGGTCAATCGACGGATTCAACTCGGCTGGGCAGCGTTCGGGAACTACGATACATCTTCTCGTCAGGTATACCTCAACATCTAAAAACGAGATTGTGTGTGTGTTGCCAGTGATGACTTATGGATCTGAAACGTGGTCCTTCAGTGCTGGCCGTATGAGGATGCTCAAGGTCACTCAAAGGTTAAGAAGGCTATGCTTGGAGTTTCTCTGCGTGATAAATTTAAAAATGAGGATATCCGCAGTAGAACCACAATTACAGACGTAGCCCAACGGAGTAGTAAGCTGAAGTGGCAATGGGCCGGTCATATAGCTCGAAGAACCGACAACTGAAGGGGAATAAAGGGCAATAAAATCCAAACCTTATTGTTTTCCCACTGATACACTATATAGAATGAGTGGTCTACTTACAGTACGAAAACTCTATGTTCTGAATCTCATTTTAACGTGCCACAAATCTTTGCCTTATGTCGACCTACACACACACACACACACACACACACACACACACACACACACACACACACACACACACACACACACACACACGCACGCACGCACACACACACGCACACACGCACGCACGCACGCACGCACGCACGCACGCACGCACGCACGCACACACGCACGCACGCACACACACACACACACGCACACACGCACACACACACACACGCACACGCACGCACGCACGCACGCACGCACGCACACACGCACACATGCGCGCACACACACACACACACACACACACACACACACACACACACAGAGCCTTCTTCGGCCCCCTCCGGGCTTCTCCAACCCTACACAGTCTCCAGTTTTCCCCTGGGGCCCCAAAAAGGTCGAGCCTCCACGGATACCCTCCGCCCCTCAACAGGTTGATCAATGGTGTATGCCGCTATCCAGAGCATCAACATTGGGTAGATTGCCGTCCTAGCACGCAAACTGCGCGCTGTTTAGTCCCGTCAGGACCGTCTTCTCGCTCTTACAGAGAATCGCAACATTATGTGTTTCCTGTAACTTGAATTACCTAATTTAATTTAAGTTAAATTAAATTAAATTAATTAAAGTTATAATTACATAATGACAGAGAACTCTGCTCTCCCAAAGTCTCACGGTCGTATTAAGCCTAAGGGTTTATCGCTTGTGTCTTTTAACATTCGCGGGTGGCGAAATAACCTCCCAGAGCTTAAGCTCTTTCATCGAGATCGGGAAGCCGACCTCCTC